CCGCGGATGGGCTGGGAGACGCCCATGGGCACGGGCGGCGTAGCCGCCGGCGTCTTCCAGCGCCCGGGGCCGCTTCTGGTCAGCGTGGAGGCCGGCGTGCCCGACTTGGAGGCCGGGTCCAGGTGCTCCTGGCTGGACGTGCTGGAGCCCAGGGAGGAGCCCTGGTTCAGCCACACGTCGCTGTCGGACTTGCGGTCCAGGGTCGGATGGGCTGGGAGACGCCCATGGGCACGGGCGGCGTAGCCGCCGGCGTCTTCCAGCGCCCGGGGCCGCTTCTGGTCAGCGTGGAGGCCGGCGTGCCCGACTTGGAGGCCGGGTCCAGGTGCTCCTGGCTGGACGTGCTGGAGCCCAGGGAGGAGCCCTGGTTCAGCCACACGTCGCTGTCGGACTTGCGGTCCAGGGTCCCCTCTAGTCGATGCCGCTCCAGTTGATAAGCTTTATCTTCCCGAAGCTCCTCCTGGGAGCGGGTAACACGCTGGAAAAACAGAAAGACAGGCTGTGACGGTTCGGCCACTCAGCGGAAGAAGTTACTGAAAATTCATAGACATTTCGTCTTCGGGGAGAAAGGTTATTAGAAAGCTAGCGTAGGGAAGCGGGGAGACCGCCCTGCGGCTCAGTGGCTCCGCGGCCTCAGAGCCTTGCCAGGGAAGCTCATCTGCTGGAAGACAAACTTTTTCTCTGGATCACTAGCCAAAAAACGAAATGCACAAGAACTCGGGACTTCGCCCAGGGTGCCCGCCCTTATTCTCAGGCCCCTGCCCGCACCTCTGCTGTGGCACCAGCCACACAGCTCTGCAAGGGACGTATGTAGTCTAATCGTGCGAACAGCAACGAAAACCACAGAGCAGTCATCAAATCCTAACCCTCCGGGCCACCCGCGACTCTGAGCTCCACCAGCTGACACGGGCTTTCCCAACGCTCTGCGGCCGCCGGGGACAGCGGTGTGGGCACAGCCCACGCATCCGAGACGGCGCTGCTCACGTCTCAGCAAGGCGTGAGGCGTGGCGGGATGGAACTGCTAGACGTGAACTTGTGTGCGTGAGGAACAGAGACAGAAATACACTCTTCTCAAAGGCAAGTCCGATGTCTGAAAAACGTCTACGACTGCGAGTAGTTCAAACTGATACAAACGATTTCACTGTGATGTCCGAGTCAAACACTTTTTCCTGCGCTGTTCACGAGCAGAAAGGGAAGATGCAAACCTGGAAAATAGTTTTCCTTTCCTTAAAAAACCAACAAGATGAAACGTGAAATATTTCTTAGAAAGGCAGAAAAATGAAATACCACTTGAAAAAAACAACCTGATAGACCTATGGAGCCCTGAGGCGCGACATGTCGCTACAGCTCGACTCCGTACACGGAAGCAGTTTCTCCACCGCTGGGCGTACAATCCACAGACCACGCGAGAGTGCTACGCCACGCCTGCCTGCACGCGCCACACCGCCCGCTCAGAATCTCGGGCTTCCTGCCCTCGGACCGTACACCTGCCGTCTCTCTCTGTTGCTGTATCTAGCAACTCCTGAGTCATTCTTTTGCTTTCCTTAAAGACCTCCTTTCAGCTCCTGGTGCTCACTTGCCTGCTCTTTCCAACCCTCTCAAGTAAATCCATCATTGATCTTAGTCATTTCAATATCCACCTGGGTGACTGCAACACCCTGGCCTCCCAGTGTCCCAACTTCCTCCTCTTGGGGTCATTTACCCATGCTGCGAAGCAGAAGCAAACAGCAGTCATCGGACGGTGGGAAGCAACAGCCCTAAAGGCTGATAGAATAAGGAAGGTGCATGAGGCGCATGAGTTATTGATCCAGAGAAGTCTGGGGAGGACCCGTCTCACTTCGAGTGCTGGCAGGGTGGGTGGAGGAGACTCCTACAGACTATTGGGCCTGAGTAGGAAACAAGCGAGATGGCCCTAAGGATGAGACAAGATGACAAGACGAAACCTCGTGAACAACCGAGAGCTGCGACCCAAGAGTCACGTTCAGGAAGCGGGGCTCCTTCCCGTGTGCGGCTGTGCTGTCTGTGACTGAACCCTCTCCCCCTGTCTCCTCAGCCATCCAGGCACTGCTCGAAGCCCGTCTCAACTCTGAAGTGTCTTCTGACCCTCTGACCTGAGAACGAGCACCCCACGGTTCACGCTCCAGGCTGCGCATCTATCCACAGCCCAGACGGCTACTTTCAAACACACACTTCCTTCCTTCCTCCGGTATTTCCCAATGCAGTTCTCTCTCTAAAAAGGGAAACACATCAATAATGTTCCCGATTTAACTGCCCGGCCGCCTCCCGCCCTCTACGAACTTGGGTATAAAACCCAGATTCCGTGGCTTGTCAATGAAGCTCTTCCGCGTGTCTGAGGAGCCCCCCGCCCCCGACTTCAGGCGGCCGAGGTGTCACGTGGGAGCGCAGGCTCCAGTCCCGCCTGGACAGAGAGCGCCAGGACCTGACTCTGCAGCAGCGCTGACCGTGCCACATCGGGGTCATCTGTTTCATCTCCAGAGTGCTGCTGGCTTCACGGCCAGGGGCCTCGATGACCACCGTGTTCCCAGAGCCAGGGGCAGCAAGCGGCGCCGACCACGGGGCTGCCCGCCTCCCCCCTCTGCCGGGGTCAGTCCGGCAGGCCTCACCCACTGTCACCAAGGCCGAACGTGCCCGCCACCTTATTAATCACGTGACGGGGACCACAGAGCCCTTTTCACTGTCAGGCTTCAGGCCGCCTGCTCCCTTGCCTTGGTTAACCAACACCCACGGAGAAGCCACGGTGGCCTCCGCAGTGCCACCTCAGACGCCGTGGGCTTTCGCCCCCCCGACACTGCTCTCGCGGGGGCTGCGTCAAGCGCTGAGGCGTGTCGGGGAGCCGCCCCCCTCACCTGGACTGCGATGCTGGAGTGACTGCCGTCCACGTGCGCGCGCGGCTTCTCCTCGTAGTCCGCCCACTGGTGCTGCGGGGGAGCCACGCGGTCCTGGGACTTGGACGCGGGGAAGGTGAAGTACTCCCTGGCGTACGTCTGGGTGGGGATGGGGTAGGCTTCGGGCCTGGGCGGAGGGCTCTGCTCCTGGAAGCGTGAGGAGGGAGAGTGAGACCCTCCCTCATCTGCAATAAGCTTTTCAAAATACAGCACACAAATGTGAAAACTGTGTTAAAAGCAGAAGTTTGGTCCCGAGAATAACGAAGACTTTCTTTGGCCCAGACTTATGAATTTAAAGCTCGTGTACCTATTACATTAAACACTAAAACGTTAAATACTCGGGGATGACAGACGACGCTGATGCGTGGAGGGAGAGCTGTGTGGGGGCAGTGAGCGTTTAAGAGGGACGGTGGCCGCTGGGCCCGCGGCGCCCACCTCCGTGCACAGGTTCCCGGTGGAGACGGACGTCACCCTCGCGGCTGTCCCAGGCGCGTGCGCAGTCTTGCAGCCAGGACCCGGAGGCTGATCTGCTGGAGAGAGTCAGGGGGAGACGTGATGTGACACAGAAAGCTGAGCCATGACCAGAGTCTTCGAGCGCAGTCGCCATGTGCCGCACGACTGCATTCTGCCGCCGGGGCGGATCGCCCTCCCGCCCGTCCTGAACGTCACAGCCAGAGACACAGGGCTCGGCTACAGACCAGGGGCGGGCCAACGGTCTCGGCAAAGGGCCACAGAGCACATTCTTTATGCTCTGTGACCCTTGCCGGTGCTGCGCATTTTGCCCTGCTTCACAAGGGTAGCCGCCAGCCCCGCTGGAGCATCAGCAGCGTGCCTGCCCACAGACCCTGCCTAGAGACCGAATCGAAGGTTTTGCAAGTTCGTTTTCCTTCTTGTTAAAGGATCGTTCGTTTGGATCGCCCTCGTGGAAAACGAGTCCCGTCAGCCAGCGCGCGGGGAGGGGCTCAGTCCAGCCAGGACCCAGCGCCCCTCGCCCCCCGCCCGCCCTGGGCCGGAGCAGGCGGGGCCGGGCGGTTCTCTCACTTGCTACGTTGGGGCTGGAGCGGTGGTCAGCCCTGTTCTTCGTCAGTCTGTCATCGCCAGGCAGTTTCTTCGGTTCGCTGTACTCTGCCCACGGCGGCTGAGGGCTCTCCGGTGACCCATTCTGAGCCGAGCTGTTATAGAGCTCGAAGCCTTCGCTCTTCGGTCGCGGTTTAGCGGAGCCGCGACGATCTGAAACTGAAACCACAGCGCATTCAGGGTGCCGCCACTTGCTCGAGGTGTCATCTTAGATGCCCTGCTTAGTTTGAAAGATGAGTACAGACACTTAAAACTCCCTAATTCAAACTTGTTTTTAGCAGGAGAAACAAGATGATTTTTCTAAGAGGGTAAAATTTTTCTACAGAATCTTTAAAAGGTTTGCAAATAAAGCAACCCTTAACTGGCACTGACGGAAAAAGGTACTACTCTTTCAAAGCTTATTTTCTCATAAACTTACTTGTTCTAAGTAACAAATTAAAGTAACTAAACCTGTTTTAAAGTAACTTTTTCAAAACTTAAAAATAAACAAACTTCCCTCACTTTTTAAAATGCATTACTTCTTTCAGTCACTCAGAGAGACCATCGTCATGAGCAGACGTCATTCAATGTGACTGTCCAATCTTTTTTTTTAATTTTCTCAGCTTCTTGCTTGGTGGCCCTGATTTATTACCTACATTTCCCTCTTTGATTTCTAACTCCATCTCGTTTGCCTCTTTGAAATCGGACAAGCCGCATGTTAAGTTTTACGTTATGAAAAAAATAAGAAACGTGCAGAGTCCGTCACAGAGTGCGATGCGCGGTTTTTTAAGGGGCCCTTTCTGTTTGGTTGCAGTGGGCAGTGGGTCCAGGTTCTCGGGGTCCTTTTCCTCGTTGTGTCGTTACTACTACGTCTAGACTTTGGGTCCTGGGCTCTGAAGCTCCTACGATGCCGACCTAGAACGAAGGCTTGCCGGCCACACAGCTGGCAGCAAGGCGGGTTCTGGGGACCGAGGTGCACCGTCCCTAACAGTTCAAAGGACACTGTGAGTCCTGATCTTTTTTCCTGTGGTTTCCGAACTCATTTCTTTAAAAAGCTCTACATTTATATGGATTTCATTCTGAGATTTTTGATATAGCTACAAAACCATGGTTCCCACCAACGTATTACTTTACTCAAATAACTGGGCTTTTCATTTAAAGTGCACTACACGTGACGTGACGATCACGTGCAGGGCTGAAAGGACCATTCATGGGCACGGGCATTCCTTCGGCGGCGTCCACCTGCTCTGAGGACTGCGCTGCGCTTGCCCACCGCCCCGACGGGCCAGTCACATGACGTGCTCAGCACTGACCGCGTGACCTGCGCCTCTCCGTGCGGGCGTGCAGGGTGAGAGGGCTCTCGAGATGGGTGGCCGGACGTGCTTCCACGCTTGAAGCCCGGGGCCTGGGGCCCACCTGCTCTCACGCCCCGCTCAGCCTAGTGGCTGTGCTCACTGGGCGTCCTTCAGTGTCAAGGGAGGCCCTGGACGCACCGCGCCCGCACAGGGGCGTGGTCGACACGGCTGCCGTTACTGGCAGCGATGGTGGAAGGGACACGCTCCATCCTTACGTCTCTGCATCGTCGGGGACGGCTGGCTGAGCAGGGTGGCAAGGCCGTGATAGATGGCCCCTTGCTTCGCTACTTCCAGAGTGACCACGGACGTCGTTCTTGTCATGAGCTCTGCGGCCCTAGGAGAGAGCGTGACGAACGTGAGGAAACGAAGCGCCACGGGAGCCACGATCGGGCGACGGCCAGCCGGCCCACAGCCCCGTCGGTGTTCGGCGACGCGCTGCCCCCTCTGCACACAAACCACACGCACTGCTCCCGCTAGCACGTTAGGATGAGAAATTCTAGGCAGTATTACGAAGACTTTTTTAAACTTCAAAGAAACTGCTCTAGACTAACTGTACACTGATGTCTTGCTAACAAGTGAAACGTCACGGACACTGAAGTTTCACACTTAAAAAGGTGAGCGGTGAGGGCACTGCTGTTCAGTATTGTTTTTCATCTTCACTTGTAAAATTTAACGTGAAACGGCCCCGAAATTGTTAATGTTAAGCTTAAAACGAACGAATGATACCTTTCTTGAGAAAGTCCTACCAGACTCCGTCCGTCCACACTGAGCAGCTGGTCACCGGCGGCGAGGCGTCCATCCTGGGCATACCCGAGGGGCACACGCGTGTGAGGCAGGACAGCGAAGGGAGTGGGGAGGGAAAGTCAACGTAAGTACACTGCCTGTTTGTAACAAAGTATCAGTAGAATGTCGCATGTCACTCGTTACATGTGGGATATAATAAAACCCGTACTGACCACGTCCGCAGCGCCTCCCTTCACGACAGACTTCACGTAGATCCCAAGCTTGTCCTGGCCAGCGCCCTGAGCAAAAACAAGGTAGAAACACCCGGTGAAAATACACGAGAGCTACAGCACTCAGCGAATACGACAGAAGTTGCAAATGACATACACAGAGAACTGCAAAAAAGTCCTGGTTCTTGTTTCTATATGAAAATTAAAATAGAATAGTATTTGATAAATATAAAGTTACCAAGAAATGCACCTATTTTGTTTCTAAATTAAGAAAAATAACTACTGAAAAATGAGTCATTTGTTAATAAATCTGCTGATAAGACAAACAGACCGAATCCTAACGGCAATTTAAGATTGGTTCTGAACGGCCACAAGAGTGAAGTAAAAGCGACCGCCACGATAGACTATCATGTTATCGCTTTAACAGAAAAGCAACTGACAATAGGATTTTTGTATTCCAATATTTACCTACACCCCCCTTAAGTCCTTATTGTTTTCATACATATCATTTAAAATTTAAAACAAAAAAACTTTCACGGCAAACACTTAGGTAGTAAGAGTTCGTTATTGAGAGAAAATTATGCAGAAAATACTCTATTGCTTTAATTTAAGGTATTGTAACTCTAAATAAATATTGAAGCCACAAGGCCCAGTCGACATGATGCTCCTGGCTGCAGTGCAGACTCCCGCAAGGAGGAAGAAGGCACTTCGGTGAGACCACAGTAACACACATGGCTGCTTTACAGAATGGCCAACATGCTATTTGGACGTTACAACTATAACATCAAAACCAGCATTCTGGATACTTTATTGGCACCATCACATGCACGAAATCTCATGTGGATATCTACTGCCACTATCCCATGAGTATATGTTCTCAGCTCACAACTACTTCAGTAGCTGTGAAATACAGTATCATAAAAGCAGAAGCTTAAAAGATACCAGTCATGAAGATAGCGACTTCAACACACGACCTGACTTTATCAGATTTCCTGCAATTGAACGACGTCGCTGCCACTCGGCACCCTCTTCCCTCGAGTTGACAGAGCGGGTTTCAGAGGGGGTCCGCCTGCCAGCACCGCCCCCGCTGTCCCCTACCGTCCCCCACTGCCCCCACCGCCCCCAGAGGGCCCAGCACACAGCATGACACCACTGTCGGGGCCTAAAAGCATCCATCACACGCCTCACTAGGAAACGGTGTAAAATGGCTCAGTTTAACAAAACTATTCAATGTTGGGAAGCAGCGTGGTCCAGATTTCCGGTGGGCACATTAACTGGAGGCTGCGTTTACTGAAGTCCTACGCGAGCTAACATCAAGAGTCCCCAGAAGTGGCCGACCCCGGCCCGGGCTGTGCGGCCTGCTAACGCGCTGCCCTTCCCTGCGTGCGTCTGTGTGGCGATGCCCGCCTGGCCCGGACACACGCCTGGCCGCCAGAGGCCCCGGGAAACCAACAGCACTTCTAACACTATGCGACGGCCAGGGGCGACCTGTGGGCCTCGCCTGGGTCCCGCTGCCACAAAAATTTAAAAAACAAACAAACAAACAAAAACCATGATTGGGATACTCGACGAAGCTTGTACTTGCTTGTCAATTTGATATTTCACAATAAAAAACAAACCGGAGGCACTTTCTAAACGGCAGCTTCCGCATTCTGGCATGCCACCCAGCAGAAGAGCAACTCACGCGGCTCCTGCCTGACTTCACTGACGTGTCACTGGACTCCTTGAACCTGGGGCCTAGGACACGCTGGGCAAGTGACTTCCAAGGCGACCCCGACCACTTCCTGCTTATCTAACCTAACCTACGATTAAGTGCTTCATTCAACAACTCAGCTGTTTAAACGATAATGTGATTCATTCCACAAATACTCGCTAAATGCCTACGCCCTCTGAAGCTGAAGGTCTGATACTTCAAAGAAATGGACCAAAAGCCCTTGTTCTCATGGAGCTCATGTTCCAGAGCTTTCTTCGTAGCTGTCAAATAACAATTCCCATGGGGGGCACTGAGAATCCCTCTTTTTCTGCAAATACTGCATGATATTTATATGCAGCCAATACCCTAGGCCAGACTTTCTGCGAAGTTTCTGAAGCTATGGTTACTTTTCCTTCCGTCCTCTCCTGAACGGATACACGTAACGTTGCAGAAGTTCAGGTCCAGCAGCCCGGCCCCGCGCCCATGGGCTAGCTCAACCAAGATGGGAACACGTCAAGCGGAAAGCTCCAGAAATAAACAACGCGCAGGTTTTCAGTCGTGCGCCGTTCGGAACAGATGAAACCTCGCACAGCCCGGTTCCATCCCCCCGGGGCTGAGTCGCCCCTCTGTCCACGTCCCCACGCTGTAGACGCTCCGCAGCTGTCGCCGGGCTGCAGAGACCACACTGACCGGCCTGGGTGGCAGGACATCGTTCTGTGCTGCCCTGAGTTGCTGTTCATCGCTCGCTGTGCCTCGTTTACAAAGTAAACTCCGCCACAGGCGTGTAGATACAGAAAACAGCATACACGGGCCTCACTGCTCTGCGCGGTTTCGGACACCCACGGGGGGCTCGGATGCCCCCACCCCCCACCGTGAATAAGGGGCGGCTGTACCAGTTTTTACCATGACGGGCATTTTCACACAGCGTTATTTTTCGGTAATGTAATACTGTCTTTTTAAATTAAATGATAAAAATCGTCCTTTTAATAAGATAATCAACCGCTACCGTCTTTGACAAGAAAAATATCTAGCAGCAATCCCAGCAATATAGAATTTTTAGTAACACCGATATAAACAATAGATCATGAAATCTATACGTTAAAACTGTAGGTCAAGCCCATTTCTGGTATGCTTTATAAGATTACTATTAATAAGGGAAAAGCTCATCTATCTGGACAAACTGTAACGACAGAACTCTTCCTTTTTAACATCACAGAGCAGTGACGTGAGAAAGTGACAAAGCGCTCCCTGCTTCCCGACGAGCCGAGCGCACGTCCATTCCGCTGCCCGTGTGCGGCTCTTCCGCTGCTCAGTCTTCACTCCAGGACACCTGTCGTCCGTTTCACGTTCACGGCGAGTTGTGGCTTCGCTGGATGACCACCTTATGTCTCCAGCCTCTGCCTTTAGACCAGCGACCACACACCTGAGGGTGACCACTGGGCTCCACGACTTCTAAGCACTCTACGTTCCTGACAGCTTACCACGGAAGCTTAACTGCAGCAGACCTCACAGGAGCTGCGAGTGTAACCTGGAATCTCATGACCTTTTAAAAATAGGCGGCGACTTACTTATTAAATGCACTGGGACATTTAATACGCCTGAGTGAAATGTTCGAGTAAAACCGATCACGCAACATAGGTATTGGCCAGCGCCATCACCATCGCGTCTTTAGGCGGAAGTTGACACGAGTTTCAGAACAACTGTGGCAGAGTGGACGCTCTCCTGATGACAGACGTGCGGCAGGAAGGGCCCCGTCCTGAAGCGTGCCTGCAGCGGGGGCTCCTGCCCCCGACTTCGCCAGCCAGCCTTCTGCGCGTGGTGTCCCACGCCCTCAGCCCAAGTTCGGTTCAGCCTCTGACAACGCACTGTGCGTGACCCACACCGAGCTTCACGGCCCCGGTCCGTCCCGCTCCCCTGTTCCCGCATGGATGTTGTTCTTGCCATACAAAACGTCCCTCTGATGCAAGGTGTCTGCCAAAACCCTTTCAGCATCCACTTCCTAGGCTCACCTGCCACGACCTGCCAACCCCCTCACCTTCCCAACGCCAGACAAGACGTGACCTCTACCTCACTTCGGTTCTCAGGGGCTTGTCTCTGTCCCCCTGAATGGCTAGTCCGTCCTGTACTCTAGCTCCTTGTACAGAAGGCCCGTCCCCGGCGGCCTCCCACGGCAGCCCCGAGCCTCTGCCTCATAAGGCCACCTACCTACCACAGCATGGGCCAGTCCTTAATTTGAAAACCTACTACGAGGAAGTCCAGAATAGTAAGAAACGCGTCGGTAGTTAAGAAGCAGCTGATACGCCCACTGTGTGTAAGCTGGAAACCTAACATAGATAACACTGTGAAATGAGTGAACGTTAGAAACCCTAAGCACTTCTGAGCGTGGACCAAATGTGTTAGGAAGGGGCACTCAGATCCACTGCTGTCAGGTGACGGACGGCGAGAAAGGCATAGTATTGCAAAAGTAACGTCGTTTTCTTACGTGACGTGGATTTATTTAAAGTCTAATTTACAACTGCTATCAATATAAGTAAGTTCGGTTTATAAGCAGTGCTGCTTGTCACAAAGAAGGCCTTCCTCTGAGACAGAAAGAGTTCACGGTTATCAGAGACCTCACTTGGCACCTAAGACCCTTAGCACCTGAGACCTGCCAGCACCTGAGGTCTGCCTGAGCTGGGTCATAAAAAAGCAACTAACTGAAAGTCACTGACAAGGAATCGTGGAATCCGACATTTAAAGAAAACACCTTTGGGGAAGTGGTGGGGGGTGATGCGCAGAACCTGGATCTGGAACGTTCTATCAGGCAACCAAACTCTGGTCGGTGCCGAATCTTCCAGACGTGCTCTCGACCTGCACCGCTTCCCCGGTCAGCATCCCCTGCTTCGCAGACCGGGGGCTCCGCTCACACTTCCGCAGACGACACACCAGCCCGCAGCCATTCCAGCCCGAGCGCAGGCTGCGGCCTCCGGGGACGCCCTTCCCGCCTCCACCCCGCTGCCCACCTCTGCTTATCCAAATCCTGGCCGCGCCGTGTGAGCAGCTACTAAACCGGCCCTGAGACAACTGTAAATACCACTGTTGCTCAGAGAAATTACAGTTCCGCTGGTAATTACTTTAGAAAAACAAGATCGTAGGTGGCTACCAGGAGATGAAAGAACTCTACGGAATTTCTCCGTGTGTGTGTGTCTCAAATGAACACGGTAGTTACTTCCAACCCAAAACACCAGAACCTCTGACCAACTCGAAGGTGAGCCAGCGTCTCAGCCTGGTCGCAGCAGCCCCGGCCCGGAACGCCCACCCCGACTGGGTGGCCGGAGCAGTGAGCTTGACCTGGCCCCGGCTAACCGCCCTGTGCTGGGGACAGGCCAGCGCTGGC